TAAGTCACTATAATTTTTCAAAAAACCCATGAATTGATTTAAAATTTTGCAGATAGTTTTTTAATAGTAACAGGAATCTATAATAACAAATTCAACGTGCTAGCATCGTTTAAGTATATAGCCTATACATCCTTAAACGCGGTCGAAATTGTTTCAAGCTCTGATGAGAGAGGTGTCAAGACGATAAAGCAAAAGGAGAGCGGAAAGAAAAAAAGAGCTTAGCCCCAGGGAGCGAGTGCTTCTTAGTCGCTAAACGAGAATATTTACTCCGAGTGGTTCTAACTACCCTGTTACCAAGAACGGTCTCCCTCGGAAACAGACGATAAGTCTCGCTCTTCTCTACATGAAATCATTACTTTCATCAGTCAGCATTCTTATGCTCCAGTTTCCTCGCTGAAAATCATAAGTTTTCGTAAAATCCGAGAGGACAAAACGAATCGCGTTTAGATCGAGCAAAATTACCGTGTCGTCGGGGAAATTTTCCACGCGGAGATTGGCAGAGATTTCGGGTAGGCAGTAACCACCCGCGGCTGGGCAACGAGAGGTTAATGGACCGTAATAGAGGGCTTAATCGCATTTAAGTTCGCGTACGAAATTATCCACCGCGCTCAGTCGAAACTGTGCAATCACGGAAACGCGATATCGAATTAGGTATCGGATTAGGGATATATAGCAGAGGCCTTCCGCGAACTTGGAAACGATCATATCACTAACAACGATTAAGATCCACAATTAAACTCCATTCACTTCCCAAGTACTTAACGTCTACCAACAAACCTAATGAGCATTCCAAATTACTATTTCAACCGAAACGTCATTTATTGATTTATTTCACGGGTTAAAACACGCTTTTATGTACATGGAAATACAAATACGAGCAGGAGATTATACAATAAATTATGAGATCGATAGTTCGTATTTAACACATGATGATATGATTATGTTAATAATTTCATTAGCATAGCTTCATATATTAATTCATTGTTTCGTTTACCATAACTGCGTGACTCGTTCCGCATGCAGCCAGGCAGCTCAATTATTAATTCTCGTGCTGTAGAACTTTCGACATGCTCTGACTTAAAACGTTATTATTATTCTCAAGTTTTTATTGAATCCGGTGGAGCCGTAATTTATACGAGAGAACTCCAGATTTCGTATTGCAATCCTGAGTCACGCACCGGACCTTTTTGCATTCGGACACGGTGTCTGCACGCGGCATTCACCAAGACGCGGGGAAAGGGGAGATCCAGACGGAATATGTAAATTAATCGAGAAGCACTGGCAGACCTCCAGTGCTTCGTCTAACGCATCCTCTTGTGCACGGACGTTGATAATTCCACGGTGATCGCGAAAGGCGACACTCGTTCACGCGTGTCGCACCCGGGCTCCGCTCGATCGCACCTCGCCTTTCCGCCACGGACGACCGAGCGGAAACCTGAAGCAATCCGGCCGCGTAAAGCGCGCTGAGTCAACAAAGAAACTGTGAAACCGTGACCGCCAACCGTGTTTCTATAATAATCCACGTACATTTATTCTATTTTAGTCAACAAGGATTCCAGTTCTCAGAGCTTTTAATAATACACGCGTCTGTTAATAGTTCCGCGAAAAATATGCATCGATACTTTTCATAATCGTTGCCAAGTACAAATTGCGAATAAAGGTAGCGGAAGGAGAATGAACGGAGCGGAAAAAGGAAGGAGGGCAGAAGTGTCCACTTGGACGGCGTAATCCGCTGGTCCTTTGCTCCTCACCCTATTTCGACCCCTGTTTCGTGCACACTTTTCCACTCTAGATCACGCAGGAGCCCGTCGAACCGTTGCTGCCCCGCGGCAATATGCATGCCAAATATCGACAGCTAGCAAATTCTCGAATCAGAATTACCACTGTCTCGTCTCTCTCCGATCATGCGATGTTCTACCATTCAATTCGTGTCAAACGTGTTCGAAAGAGTAATCAATTATTTCGCATGATTTTTTATTGGACATTAATCGACGTAAACGCGAACGTATGGAACCAGATTTAAACAAACGAAGATTTTTGAAAATGCATAAAGATTTATGGGAGAAGGAAATGAGCCTGAGGAGGCGATAACGCGGTAAAGGATGAAAGTTCGACCGGGGCCAAAGTGTAATGAGTCCTTCCCGAAGAAGAGGCACTCGACTCTCGACATGGCGAAAAGGGAGAGGAGGAACGCGACGAGAGTTTTCGTACAGAATTACGCTTCGGCACTTGCTATTTGCCCGGCAACGATGCGAGCGGAGAACGAAAATCAAACTCTCGGTCTCTCTCGTTTCCACGGAGTTGCGTCGGGAACGGAAAGGAGGTTTTCCCGTTAATCCGAAACTAGAGTCTGGCGAGAGATCCGTCGGCGGATCCGTTTTCATCGTTTTCGAGTCCACGTTTCTCCTCTTTGTTCAGTTTTCTCGCTTGTTCCTCGTCGCGGCTATTTTCATTTCTCCTTTTGCGCTACTCACGGCAAAAGCGGATTTATATCGTCTGTTTCTTTGATGAATCGATAGGGTTCATTGAAATAGCCAGTTACTCGTGTCCTGTTGTTAGAAAAACAAACTGGAATGACAACGTAGTACGAATTTATTGAAACGATTTATTGTCAGATCGTAATTAATGATCTGGCTCATGATAAGACTGATGAACGGGGGTGGGTTGACATTAATGACGATGACAGGAGTAATCGCGGTCGGGTTTAGCTGACCTGTCTTTGAACGATGAATCGGGGAAGGCGGCAGTTTATGCTTATGAGATCGGATCGATTGCCCACCGATCCTAGCGGATCAGTCCGGTGGCTTTTTAATTGGCGGATGGAGAGCCTCGATATCAATCGTTTCCACGTAAAAGCAACGCTATTTGCTCTCGAGCATCCCCCTTTAATACCCCGGCTGCAATTCCGAGCAGGGCGAACGGGAAGAATCGAGGAAAAGATGATCGACCGGCGATTCGAAATTTACGCAAGTTACCCACTAAATTCGATTCGCCTGAACGAGATCGAGAAGGGTCACGGGTGATGTGTGTGGGTAAATAACGATGCAAAGGGTGCAGGGGTAGGAAATATGATTTTAACCCGATCATTTTTCACCCGCGTTAAGTGTCTATATTTCTCTTCCTGGGGTAAGCGTTTTCTTTATCAAACGTATATATGTTTGATCGAAGGATTAATGCGATATTTCGCATAGCGATTATTCATTGTTAAATGTGGATCATATAATATTTCATTTGACAAACATGAATTTCGTATCGAACCGAAGAGGGTAGAAAATGTCTCAGGTTTAATAAGATTTTTCATTTGCCATGGTCGTAAGACGGCCAGCGATATCTGCGAGCGGAGGGTGAAGTCGCCACTTAGAAGGGTCGTTAATAGCGAGACGGATCGAGGTCGCGTGCCGGCGGAAATTGGGGAACGCGTAGGCGTCGCTCGAGACACGTAAAGATTAAAACGAGCACGCGTTTCCCGACGGTAATTGGGGTCGTCGGGAAACGTATCGCGGCTGTCGTCATCGACGTCGTCGCCGTCGTCGTCGTCGTCGTCGTCGTCGGCGTTCGGTAGTCGTCGGTGTTTAAAGCCCGAGTACTTCAGACTTCCGTGTTTACGGAACGCGAGCGACAGCTTGACGGCTCCCTTTTTTCTTCCTTGTACGCGATTCCTTCTCCCTGCTCTCACCCCCTCGTCACCTCCGCCTCACAATCCGCGCTTTGCCGACAGAAATGTTCGCCTCTTCCCTCTTTACCCTCGGCCATGCCTCCGCCCCTGCGCCCTCGCCTTACCTTCTACTTCTCTTATCCCTTTACCTTTGCCCTCTTTACCTTCTCTCGACTCCGCCCTACGTCGTCTCATCCTTCTTCATCCTCTACCTCCTTTCCCTTTTCACCACGCGAATCACCTTTTACTAGAAGGTAGAACGTTTCTTTCAATCACGTTGCCGAATTTCGTTTGGTAAATAGTTGCATAAATTTGAGAAGACGCAGCGACTGAAACTCGTTAACGTTTCTCAAGACGTAAAACGGTCGATCGACCGATGGACTGACGGCTCGTTTAAAATTACGGAATCTGTTCAACGAAACAGAGAACAGAGACGTCAGTCGATCGCTTCCTCGAACCGGAAAAAAAAGGGGGTTTCGTAAAACCGGCGGAAGCATCCCTCGACCGCGACTAATGGAACGAGAGGACTAGGCTACTGGCTGGTCGGGAGAACTATCGATTCAAAAATTGCCAAGACCGAATTCTTCTGCTCAAACGATTCCCCTTGCGATTCTCTGTTTTTCCCTAGCAATTACTCGTCACTGGGATTAACCACTCCACGCAAAGTTACCCACGCGTCATCCTCTTTTTTCTAAAAAAGTAAAACGTGTCCAGTTCAGAAATTCGATATGAACTTTCATATAATTTTATGACACAGAAAAATGAAAGGAATAGTAGGCTGGATTAAAAGTCCTGGTAATAGACGAACAGAATTTATTACTTCGAAGAATCGATAAGGCGAAACGTCCGAGAAATCGGGGACAGATAAAGGACAGAAAGAATGGAGAGAAAGGGAAAATCGTGAGAGCGTTTCGCGAAACACCGTGACGAGAGGTCCCCTCGGAGCACTCTTGATTTCGCGCAAAACGACCGCCCCCGTTGCCGCTTGAAACTGTAAATAGCGTAACGACTCTCGTTACCAGCCGAGGAAGGGGCGGGCATCGGTAGAGAAACGCAATGAATATCTCTAATTCCGTTAATGGATCGTACAGAAAATTCGTCCCAGAATCGTCAAGAACCGTCTGCCGCGCAAAGCACCGGAGTCGTCTCTTCGTTTTATTCCGATTATGCTTTTCGCATTTAAATTTCTTCTCGTTCCTCTTTGCACTTTCGGCAATTGACCCCATCGCCTATCGATTGTAACTAATAAAGAGAAACTTCTCTTTATTCCCTTGCTGTCCATCGTTGGTCAAAAGCGAACTGAATCGGTCCATTTTCTAAAGGGTACAATGAACGTTTGTTCTAGGTGAACGGTCAAGATGTGTCGAATTCGAGCCACGAGGATGCGGTACGTTGCTTTCAGTCGGCCCAGGAGCCGATCATCGTGGAGGTGTTGCGTCGACCACAGCTGCATAGCCAGAGAAGAAATAGTTGCCCGGTGGAGTCAGAGAAAGATCTCGATCACGGGAATAAACGCGAGACGCAAACTTGTTCGAATCTGGTGTCGACCGCCGTGCAGACCGATTGGGCTGGACTGGTCGAGACGGAGGAGGTCGAGGAGCAACCGAACGACAGCTTCGAAGATTTCCTGGCTCACGACATCGATTTTGAGGTCCGAACGAGAAACTTAATCATTTTTACGTTTAATATTAACCAGCGATTTACAGGAGGTGACGTTACGAAAGGCGGGGAGCGCCGAGAAGCTGGGTCTGACGGTCTGCTACAGTTCCGGTTCCGGCAGCGAGGACGCGGACACCGAAGTGTATATCTCGGAGATCGTACCGGAGAGTTTGGCGGCGCGCGACGGCCGATTAAGGGAAGGCGATCAGATCTTGAGGGTAAGCAGCAGCAGCCCCCCATCACGGATTACGCGAGCGCGCAACGACCGTGACACCACGATTTATTCGATTACGCGTCCTGTCTCCGCCGCGTGGCCGCGATTTCTTCCAACCTACTACCCTTCTAATCTCGTTAGGCGGATCCGTAATTGCGGACAAAGGAGTGACTCGGGGAAATCGGATAGAAAAACGAGCTCGTCTCGATTCCCTCCAATCCGGAGAATATTTTACGTTACTTTCCAGAGAGAGAACCGCGTTGCTCTCGTTCCAGGTAAATGGGAAGGACGTGGCGAACAAGGAACAGACGGAGAATCTATTCGCGGAAACGAAGAGCGCCGTCACTATTCTCGTCAGCCGGTGTCTCTATCAGGTACACTTCCATATCTCTTGAATTAATTCATTTTATCTCGACATGTCAGAATCCTGTTAACGCTTTCTTCTCTCCAAGGAGGACGAATACGATGAGAGACGCGGGTACCGACGGGTGAGCGTCTCAAATTTTGTCAGTCTCTCTCCAGTAAATATCGTCAATTTTCCGAACGAAACGATCTCTGTCCAGGGCTCGCCGTTGCTCTCGCCGGAGCATCTACCTTCCTACCAAAACAGCCTGATCGAGCAACTCATCCGGCAGCAGCAGCAAACAGAGGAGCGGACCAAAGACACGGAAGAGAACGGGTCTACTTTGAGGCCACCGCCGCCGGTACCGTCTCACACAGCCACGAACACTTCCTCCTCGACCTGTTCCTCTCACACCTCACAGAAGTCCTGCGGGAAGAACGCCACGTCGCCGCACAAGCAGTGGATGCAAGACACGTTGAAGGACTGCACGAAGAAGATGGAAAACTTGTGTATACGAAATCCGGGTAACTGCGGGGCAGGACAGACACCCGTAAAATTGGCCGAAGCTTACTCGAACCACGTGTGGAGCGAGACGGAACATATTTATGAGACGATACCGGAATCCGACAGCGAGCCGATTTATTCGTCACCGTACGAGCATCGGCATTGGTCCCACAGCCCGTGTACGGTCGCTACCTCGCCTCAGATGACGACCACAACGACCACTGCTACCACTATTATCACCCCGAACACGGTCATCCAGCATCAGAGCAGCAGATGGTATTGCTCGTCGAAGAGCAACAGTTCCGGTGAGGAGAAGGACAGTTCGAGCGCGTACAACACCGGAGAGTCGTGCAACAGCAACCCTCTCACGTTGGAATTACAACGAGGCGAAAAGGATCACCATAAGAGCACTTTGGTCCTCTGCCCTCCGAAGACGCCCACGCTGCAACAGCAACAGCAGCAGCAACAGCAAAAAATTAGCTGCAGCTGTGCTACTGCTAACAAACAGACCAGAAATCATTCGAATAAAAGAGGGTCCAGTTCGCATCATTTCAACAGGGATCAGAACGCAGCTGGTTTGCCTGCGGATGCGACGATGTATACAAATATGGCGAATCTTCATCAAACGATGCTTCTTCAGCAGCAGTTATTCAAACAGGCTCTCGATAGAAGGAACTCCATCGTCGGGTCCAAGGAGACCAGCACTGGAACCGCAAAAAAATCGAAGTCGCATGGTAATTTCCAAGCGCCGAATTTAACGCGATATCAGTTCGTCGGTAGCCAACAGGTGTGTACGTCGAGTAGTTCGTGGATACCACCGGAGGAGAAAGGGAACGAGGTTCAAATGGAGTGGAAGGTGAAGAGGAGGGCGGATGGAACCAGGTACATCGCGCGGAGACCGGTCAGGAGTCGTCTTCTACGAAACAGGGCACTCAAGATATCCGAGGAACGGGCCGGCCACAGCACCGAGGATGATACCATGTCGGAAATAAAGGTAATTACAGGTTCTAGCAGTAATAAGAATCTCATTAGGAATATTTGCCATCTTATTTTTGTCGCGATTCAGGTCGGTAGATATTGGACCAAGGAGGAACGCAAGCGACAGCTGGAACGTGCTCGCGAACGGAAGCAGAGGCAACAGGAACTGCAGCTCCAACAGCAGCAACAGCAACAGTTGCAGCTACAGCAGACGAACGAGCTTCTGGCGTGCGAGCACGGGGACGATAAGACCGCGAAGAAACCGTTGAACATCGTCGAATTGAGCCACAAAAAGATGGCTCGTAAAAAAAATACTTTGGACGATTTCACGACCGTTCAAGAGATGTTAGTTCACGGGAACAGGGTCGGTGGGGCTAATGGTCCCGGTACCGGGGGCAAGCTGATGGGTCTTCTGTCAGTGACGACCGTTTGAGTCGAACGTATCCCTTCGCCGTTCCTTTCCGTCGTGCTTCCTCTCGTGATCCTCCTTTCGTTCAATGGTCTTCGTTTATTCACTTCGCTCCCGAGGATTTATGAGAACGATAATCAAATTAGACTCGCTGCTACTTACGGTGCAGCTCGTATCGTTGTCGAGGCAGCGTTTACGCGAACGCAATTGTAAATATTTTTTGTCTGAATGTTTGTAGATTATTTTACACGAACTGAGACTGTATGATGGACAAGGGAGATGAAAAAAGATGTACGCTTTTGTAGATATGTACAGTAAACACGAGGATAGTGCATTATGTACATACATACGTACACGTATATAGGATATAGAGTGCAGATGTTTGTGTCACTGGTAGAGAGGAGGAAAGATAAGGATGCTGGCTCGTAACAGAACTTACACGCGCACGAGCCGCCGAATCGCTCGAAAGATTTAGAGAAAAAAAGAATGTCAAGGAAGAGTAGGTAGAAATGTGTTACGGACACATTTAAAAATGTACGAAGAATTGTCATATTTTATTACGAAATTTGAAAATCTCATTATAACAAGGTTCATGTATCTGTTCATCTGCCTATTCGATTATCTGTTCATCCGTTCGCTTGTTACATGAACGGCGCGTTGATGTTCAGGCTGTTTAGGATCTTCCGTTCCGGGACATTTAGATGTTGAACGTATGCCGGGAAGCAATGATGCGTTGAAAAATTGAGTAAAAAGTCCCGCAAGTATTGACTCAGATTCAAATGATAAATAGAATCCTGCAGCAACTCTGGATCCTCCTCGTCCTCGGCTTCGTTCGTGACATCTCCCAACACTGTAAACGACGAAACGAAAATGTTGATTCGCTAAACGATCGGACGAACGTTAAGGAAAAGATGCGTATTGGCCCTTACTTAGCATAGTTTCGTAGCCGGGATCTAGGTAAGCGTTCTCACCGTCATTTTCCTCGTTCTCCTCGTCGTCGTCAGATTCCTGTGCATAATTAAATGAAACGACGTGAGATCATTGCGATCACGAAACATGAAAATTATACTAACGTCCGTTTCATGATTGGCGGTGACCGCTTCGATGTCGTTCGACAGTTCATTGATTATCAGCTTGAATATTTTGGCCAGAACAGGTATAGTGGTCCACTGATAAGGCTGTGATTCGGCTTTACTCCTAGTCCTCACGCCTTCGTTTCCTACGTATTTCTCGAATTTTAATTAGTCACTCGCTGTTTTCAAATAAATATTTTATCGATATCTTGTACCGATTGAAATAAATAAAATGAAGAGACAAACGAGACTCTGGCGAACAAGTGTATAGGAAAAGATTACGATATACGAACCTGAGAATATTTGGTCTCCCTTCACCGTGATTTCCTCCAGTCGACTATCGCCGTGAGTAACACCGAACTCCAAGATCTTGCAAAGGGCCACGGTCGCGACCTTCCGGTCGTACCTTCCGAAGAACAAGTGCTGTCTGCTGACCCATTCCGAGAGAACGAAAGCGAGAGCGCTTTGTCCCGTGGGACCGGGCACGGTCGATAGGAAGTTCAGGACGGCATCGAATTCTGTGTTTATCAGATGAGCGTATATCATAAGCAAGCTCTGTACGACGGTTAACGTCTCGGCGCGTTGCATTTTACTCAACACAGCCCTCAACAAAAGATCGAGATTCTCGCCCAGCGTGCTACCAGCTTTCCTGATTAACGTTGTCACCAATCCACCGACGAAAGTTGCTGTGAACTCGCTCGACTACAAATGCGCAGGGTCTCATTAAATTGTACACAAAATTCATGGAGATCATCGCAACAGCAGTGCTGGAGGAAGCAGACGGAATCTAATCCATCGGATCGTAGACAGTTTACCTGTGGATTCAGTAACTGCGCGACGATCTGCAATATATATTGCAAACCCGTTTGGCCATCGTTGTCCCGATGGGCGATCACCTCTCGAGCAGCCACCGCTAAATACGTTCGTATTACTTCGCCGCCACTTTGCAACGTCTCATTGTCCTCCGAGTTCAAGATGCAGTGGCAGGCGGCAGGAAATGCAGTCTCGATCAAACCGTTGCTCAACGGCCTGGGAGAGTAATGCACTAACACTTGCAAAACGTCCAACGCCACGTCCCGACATCTTTCTGATCATTTACAAGAATAACTTAATTTCTACTTCGTTCGACGATTCGTCACGATACTCACCGTCTTTCGTTTTATCCATCGGCGTGATGGCCATCATACTGGTCAATGTCGGTATCAAGCGCGTTTGTAACGGCCCTATGCAATCGGGATTCTGTGTCAAACTCTTGAATATATCTTGACACAAATCTAAAATCACCGGATCGCTGTAAAACTTGAGGAACACAGCGATAGTCAGGGGACAAATTTTATTCTCCACCGATGCGGTGAATGCTTTGTCCAGCTGCAAAATTCACACGTATATATACATTGATTTCCGATATACAAGAATGTATTTCGTGAATTGGATCTTACCGAAACCAACACTTGCATTGTTTCAATAACTAAAGTTAGAATCTCCGTGGACGGGTGATTTGCTAGATTAAATACCCCTTGAAATATGTTCGGCAAGTGAGACCTAATGATACTGCCAAGTGTATCATTGTTCTCCGCCGACGCTTTGCAGAACCAGTAAATCGCCTTAATCGCACTGATACGAATACAGGTAAGCTGATTCTCTTGCAGACCAATAATAGTTGCTTCTAAAAAGCGCGAACTCATTTCTGGTGGCATTATTTCCGCGTATTTACCACCGATACATAAACAGCGACCGAGAAGTAACGGCGGTGCACCTGAAAATTGAGAAACCCGTAGCATAACTTCGTGATACAAAGAAATAATCGAATCTTACCCGAGTCTTTCAGAGTAGCTAAAACTATCGTGTCTAAAAATCGGATTATATCGAATTGAAGCATCCCAGCTTGGTGCTTCTCCACTATGGTATCCTTCACTTTGCTCAGTGCTAAAATAGAGGATTCTCTTAATTTCCACCAAGTTTCATTGGCCTTGCTTTCGTTGACCGTGGCTTGCAACCTGCTCGTTGCCTCGATGTGACGCGTCACAACTTCGCAAAGCGTGTTCGCAGCTTTTTCCTCGGAATAATTAACAAGGGCCTAGATGCAAGTTTGATAATAGAAAACGGTTCATTCCCCTGTTTAGTGTAAATACTTACCGTCAACAGATCTTGAGCAGAAATCCGAACGCTGTAATGTAACACATCGTCCTCCTCGACGAACTGACTCGGGCTAGTCGTCCATAATTCGATCTGATCGTCCGTTATTTGCATAAAAATAATTAGATAATACATCACCTCGTGCATTAAACTGTCCAAGAGATTCGAAAACCTCTTACGATCGACAATCGAATGGACGAACTCGAAGATCGCGATGATCAGATTATTGAAATTAATTATTTCACCTGAGAAAAATAAAACGCGGTTAATTCTCGATTGTAAAAAGCAAATGTGAAACAAGAAATTTACCATCCGAATCAACTTCTGTCTCGTTCGTATCGCCGCCTCCGTTCACAGATCCCTCCTGATAAATTTTCGCGCTTTGCGTTAGCGTTTCCCAAATGGGTGGCAGCATCTCTGGTAAAAACGTTGACACGTATTTCGGTAGTTTAGTAACTAGGCAATTAATAGCTTTGATAACGTCTGTTTTAAGACCGCTGTCGCTAGTCGGGCCGTCGGGCACTCGCAAACACTGAACAAATTTTTCACAAAACATGGGTATAACTGGCTGCAGGTACTGCTCCGTAAATCCTTTCTGATACACACCAGTCGCTGCGACTAACGTTGTGATCGTCGTAAATATTTCAACCGCACGACTGCGAGTTCTAATAGAATATTTCTAGAAACGTAAAGCAATGTACTATTGTCGCTCTTACAACAGTTAGACAGACGAAAGATCAAGCTTGCCCACGTTTTCGCTTTGAAATATTCTGTACATCTCCTGGAGGATCACCGGGCCAACGTTGGGTAGTTGTGCATCGGTGAGATCGGAAGTAAATTCTGTTAAAACTCTTATTGCCCCGTGAACCGCGTACTCGTTCTCTCCGCTTAAACAGTTTACGAGGATATCGAACAAGCCCGGCCAATTCTCTGGCCAATCCCAATGTGCAATAGCTGACACCGCGTATGCTACCGCGGCTCGTACCTAATATGAACAGAACAGAGTAACTTAAAATTCATATATAAATCCATCATAGTTATTAACTCCGCCTTACCTTGCTAATCGATTCACGAAGTCCTAATGGCAGTAATTCTTTAATTTTCTCCTTTATTGCATATTTTACCTCGGGAGGTCTAAATTTCTCAGCCACGGAACACCAGTGAGTTTCTACGTATTGCTTTAGTAATACAGAAGCTAATTGCCTGATAGGCAAATGCCCATTTGGATCAACTACAAATTCTGTCAAATGTATACCAAATTCTTCTGTAACTTCTAAAGCTTGAAGTCTCTGCTCAGCAGCCTGACGGGTTTCTGTATGAGGAGACAGAACTCCGGTCAAGGTTTCGTATAAAGCTTCTCTCAGAGACCCTTGTACGTCCAATGCCATTGTATTCATTCTTACGAACTTCTGATATATGTATTATGTACAGCTGGATTTTTAATTGTATGCAATGAAATCTTTTCTCATTTTATTCGTTCGTATAAAATAAGATCATCACATTACCTGAACACATACCCTTGAAGGTAAATTATTTTATTAGGAGCAAGACTGTTTCCTAGCAGTATCAATTAATACCGTGTCTGAAAATTGATTTTCCAAGAATATGATTTTTATTCCAGTGATCCGATCAAGCCGGTTGAATTATTTAAGCTCCAAGGTTAGAGCAGTACGAAGACGATATGTGCAGACTTACGTGAGAAGGATAAGTCTAAATGATTCATTAATCATACGCCGTGCTCCTATGCATGTACTTTCGGTGGTTTTGTTTTAAACGATTAACAATTATATAGACTATTATAAATGGAATACCATGTACACTTTAACTTCTGGCTGTTGACGGTTTATCTATTTCTCCCAGCGAGTTCGTGCGCAAGCTATACGATGCCGCTGGCGAAGATGCTTTTATCGCTGGTCGATACACTCTCAGGTAAAAACCACCGAGCAGGATTATCTCTCCTTGGTGTAAAACTGTAAAGACGAATATCAGCTTCTAGTCAACAGATCTGACCAGTTCTAGTCCAAATCTAAAATTGCTTTTAATTAAAACTGAATTCAAATGTTTCTGATTGCAATAACTTTTCTAGTTTTGAAGTGTTAAGCAACCTCTTGATATTTTAATAATTTCCTGCAAGGTCCCTTCGTTTATCGATATATCAATCGCCCGAGGATAAAAAAAGGAACCTTGGCAGCGGTGGGATTCGAACCCACGCCTCCGAAGAGACTGGTGCCTTAAACCAGCGCCTTAGACCGCTCGGCCACGCTACCAGTTGTTACTCCACCTTCTCCGATAACAATTTGCCCGGAATGACAATACATTAAACTACGACTACGATACATGTATTCCTATTAAGTTTAAGCATCTACATTGCAATAAGTATATTTCAACGCTCGCGAAATATTTCTATACATAAGCATATGTATGCTTGTCAGAAACGTAATCTTAAACGTCGTACTGTAAAATGTAGTAATTTGCTTCGTATTCTATTCAATTATGAACTATCGGTTTTTAATCATCGTTCAGATTGAAGCGCAATAAGCAGATACTAAGTTATATCGGCTCGGTTTTTGGCATCTGTGACTTGTAGGGATCCAAGATTAGAATCCCGCGGAGAGACGAATTCGTAGTTCGTCGGCCACATGTCGTGGGCGTAGGTACGGGCGTGTGGATTAAACAAAGGCAGTCTCTCCGGGCGGAGCTTTCGATCCGTGTAGCCGACGCGTGCGCTCGGGCATCGTCCCCCATACATACGCGTTCCGTTCTCGTGGAGCGGAGCGCGTGGTGCACGGAGGCAAGAGAAGAGAAGGCATCAACGTATCGCATCCCTATTTTTTCCCGCGGCTCCCAACGGCCATTTTGTGCGTCGACTTAACATTCGCCTCTCATTTTCTCCCTTCTCGCATCTGTAACTTTATATCGTCGCGATGAAGTCCAATTGTCGCGCCTGGTGGTCCTTTGTTCTCGCGGGTCTGGACCATAATCGAGTCAGTTAGCGCCTTCGCGCGCCGAATACTAATGATCCCAGAGCAGATCGGTGATCGATCGATATCCGAACGATCGATCCTCGGTCTTCTCTTCGCTACGAACGGATTCAATCCGTGGAGTGGATATCAAAAGTCGCTCGAACGCTCCGGCACGGTTGCGCGTTTTGATACTCTCCGAGAATAATAGACGTCTACTTCGAGTTCGGATCTCATTTATATGAGAAGCAGTATTTTCTTATTCGGAGTCTAGTACATCAGAAGTGTTAAAAATCTTATATTCCTGGAAAGTGTCCAACTACTGATACGAGATGAATTACTGGTGCCTCCGTCTTCTGTAACGATGACACGAAACGTGTTTACGTCGGAGAGTCACATAGACGTAGCGAACGATGTTTAATTAAACGCTTGTCGGTATTTATAGTATATAACGATAAGAGAGTTGATTAATCGAAACGGGAACCATGATGGAAAGTCGGTGCTCGCGACCGCACCGCGCCACGCGTGTACCGGCGGGCCTGAACGAGGCGTAGGAGCATCCTCGCGGTGAATTAATCATTTCAGCAGCTGCTGTCGCATTAGCGAGAGCGGATAAGACAAATGAACGTCGTGTAGCTTGTTAAGACGTAATCCGAGAGATGCGTCTGCATCGCCTCCCGTCTTCGTCTCCGACGTCCTCGCCGTCCGCCCCGTCGCATCCGTAGACTCATCCGGGATTAGATGCCTGTGTATCGAGTCACCATTTTACCCACTCCGCGATCCGCTTTTGTTTACGGGTTAGCCTCGACCGTTCTTGATCTTATTTTCGTTATTTCTTGTTTTATCGAGATAAAAGAGATATGGAAGTTTTTCTCTTTCGACCAACTCAGAGTCGAAAATATCTGAAAAGAAGTCTGTGTATCGAGCCACTATTTTACTTACTCGACGATCCTCTTTTCTTTACGGGCCAGCCGCGACTGTTCCTGATACGATTCCATTTTCCGTTAGAATAACTCCTCATTTTGTTGAGATAAGAGCGATATGGAAGTCCTTCTCTCTCGAAATCGTCGAAAGCATCTGAAACGAAGGGAAAGTAAATAAGCGGTAGTTCGCTATTCATCGAGAAGTGCGAAGATACGATCTACGGACTCGTTCCTCTTGCGTTACGTTTGTCAGATGCGTCGTTTTGGTAGGACAGCCACGAATCGAAGGGTCTCCGATGACGGATAGCGTCGATGCGGGTGCTATTGGAAGACGTTAACGCGAATCGTGCGGATGTGACACGATTGAGTATCTCGTTTCCTGTCATCACGGAATCTGGGAATGGTACCGTTGTAGATATGTCATTTTTTCGCTTTCTGCTTCGACGTAAGTAATTGTTGCAAGTCTCTCAAAATTGTTTGCGATGTTGATTGATTTAGGATATCTTCAGAAAAGTGGCAGAGAGGAAAATTCTTTTCCTCGATAGGTTTTAATTATCGGGTCGGTGCATTAGTGAGACTCGACGATTTTCTACTCCTGTATTCTACTTTTTATTACACAAAGTAGGTGTGCAGCCGAAGGAGTTCTTTGATTCCGCTTCGCTTTTATCAGGCCGAGTATTGCGCCTCTCCATTTTGTCATCCCCTAGCGGGGTTTCGATGTTGTAACCATGGAGACGTCGCGTTTCCGCAAGGGGAACGTATAAAGGGTATCGGGCGTACGTAGTCAAGTATGGTGAGGCTGCCATTGTTAAAATTCGTGGCTGTGCTACGCGTCCAATTTACCGATAATGAAAATACGATGCCATCGGCGGCGACATAGCTACATGGAAATTTCACGCGCGTATCCAACGTTGTTCTCTTACCTACTCTTTCCCGTCGTTACTTCGTTTACAGATAATTTGCACGCGAAACAGCGTAGATATCAATTTAGTTGAAACACGTATTTAGCGAAGAACGTCGGAAAGGAGAACGGAATGATTGACGAGAAAATTCGCACTCGAGCTGGTCGATCTTCCAGCGTTCGTCCTCGTCGTTAAATGGCCAATGAGTTTCATAGGAGCCGTTAAGGGAGTCCTCGATTCGTAATGAGACTCTCGAGAAGAGTCTTACGATTATCCCCCATTAGGACGATAGAGAGTGTAATGACAACCCAGTTTATCGATTCGATAGAGAAACGGCAATCCCATTTTGAACAGAATGAATTTTGTTTGGAAATTCGAAATTCACGCTCAGATTCTCTCTCTTTAATTCTCCACTTAATCTGTTAAATCATTTTCAAGATCGCGTCGACGACCGTCCGAGACGAAAGCGAAGATACGGTCAGATATTTAAAAAAAAGTGAAATAATAATAATAATAATAATAATAATCGACGTTTCCCAAAGGAAGAAACCATTTGTTAGTTCTGGACCGTGTCACGAACGCAATTAGTGAGTGATTCGTCGAGCACTGCGAAGTCCTCGACAGTAATAGCGAAGGGCTCTTCAACCGTTTGAGTACTCTTCCGGTAGCGACTGCATTTTGATTTGCGCCCCGATGTGCTTCCTTAAAGCGCGACTCCGCTTTAATGCAAACGGTCCTCGTTCTTTTTCTATTTCACATAGTATTTTTCGAATCGTCGTCAGTGTCACGCGTGGTCAAACCAGTTCGAATAATTAAACGAGCTATGAGAAACTGTCGTTAACGTCTAACGACGCTGGTTAACGATGGCCGTGCCTGTCCGACGGAAAGCGCGTAACAAGTCTGTAGTTCCAAGATCGAATGGATCGATAGACATCGAAAGAAACCGGATTTAACGTTTAGTACTTCTTTCATCGCGATGTTCTACTCAAACCAGAGAATCCTGTTCTGTTGGTTTAAGTAGCCAGAGCGATGTCTCGAGGCGACGGAAGAATAAGCGATACGAGAAGCTTCGGTTCCGCATCGAATATCGCGGTTCTCGCGGTTGCCGAGAAAGTCCCGATAGTTTCCAGAGAAAAAGATCGGATCGGTCTGCGACACGGCTGTTTACACGCGCGGGAAAAGCGACGACGTTGGTTAAAAGGTTTCGCTGTAACCAGACTCCCATTAAAGCAACACCTTTTGTAGCCAGAAACCGTACCGCGGGGACGTTATTGTACGCGGCACGGAGCACATTATAATTCATTGTGTCGTCGTTCTTCGACGCCTAGCTCGCAACACCTGGTAGGTGTAACGTTCCCGCCATTTTCTATTATAAGGATAATTTGATACATATCGCGAGCAGGGTGCGACAACGGTATCCGTCGGGGCTCGTCCGAGTTCGATCGCAGTTGTACTTTCCGACCCCTGCATTGTATACGCGACGATTTCAAATACTATTATCCGTGGACCTATCTAACTGCGTCTCTACGCAAATGTTCGGAACACCGTCGTTTCAAAATAGAAGGAATACTTTTTTTCCTCGGGTGTCTTTTTAAACGGTAGCGTGGTCCGAGGAATATTTCGTGGGATATTAGGATTTTTCGGGCGGTACTTCGTACGTACATAGAAGCGAGTTCGATATCCAGTTGGATTTTGGTCACGTAGAAACCTGGTAACGAAGTTATCCTAGAAGCTCCTTGTACGCGCGGACCATCGTGTAACGTGTCTCGATTCCAAGGGCCCTGTATACTCGAGAGCCCATAGAACCAAACTCAATATGGCGGAGTCAATTGGACGTCCCGTACTTTAGGGTTCTCCCTTTCTGCCACCCATCTCTCTCCTTTTTTCCCCCCTTTCCGTTTCTCGAGCATCCGGCTTTTCTCCCGTATTTCGTCTTTCTCACTCGGTAATATAATGGAGACACGATCGACTTTGAAATACAATCGATAGTTACGGAGACGGGGAGAAAAATTCATGGCTCGGCTATATACAACTACCCACTCGTCGACTTTGAATGACGCACGCACAGGGGGTGGGCCGCCCTCGCGGCGA